GAGCGGAGTAAGAGAGTGGGGAACAGGAGAGAGGTGGAGGGACAGGGACACAGGGAGACGGGGCAGCCACAAGCCAGGAGTCTCCCAGTGAACAGCAGTGACAGACTGAACCAGCTGCTCTCCTCTCTCTCACTGTGCCTCAGGAACAAGACAGGGATTCTGGGCTGGAGAAGCGAGAAGACCGAGATAGTGAATGGATACGAGACCAAGGTAAGGAGGAATTCCGCGTGGGAATGGGATTGTGGAATTCCAGTCCTGGCTATGGGAGGGAGAGCGAGCAGTTTCGAATTCTGTCAGGAAAGAAACATTTCAGTTGAGAATTATTTGAGCCTAATAATAATATCTGTTGCAGAAAGTGAAGTTATATTTACAGTAGGACTTTTTGTGACACCTTATTTTCTTTTCTCTGTAATATCAAATAGCAATATAATAATTCTCACTTATAATTTTACCTAATTAATAACAGTAACATTACTATGTTAGGTAACATTAATCATCTAAGTAAAATTAATTATTCATCTAAATTAATTATTTAATTGACATTTCCTACCCTATGACCTCTTTCCTCACTCCAGGTGTATGGTGCCTCCAATGTAGAGCTCATCACTCGAACCCGCACTGACCACCTCGCTGACCAGCACAAGGGCAAGAGTAGAGGTATCCCTGGCCCCTGGCCCCTGGCCCGCGTCCCACCCCGTCTGTCCGTGTGTGTGCTCTGCCGGTGTCCGGAGTCACTCCTGTCCGTCCGGACTGACTGCCCCTGCTGGTTTTCCTCTGCTGGTGCCCGTGTGTCCACCTGTCTCTCTGGGGTGGGTGACCCCCCAGCCCCTTCACAAGACCGAGCAGGATTCCCCACGGCCTCTGAGCAACCTCGTGCCAGAAGAACCGAATTTCTCAGGAAATCACTAAGGACAAATCTTACCTAGAGAACATCTTTTTTTTTTTATTACTGCCTTATTTTTGACATTAGTGTGAGATTTAGAAGGGTGTTTTAAAACTCCACCTTCACTGACCTATGTCCATGATTTCAGTGTTTTCTCCTGGGCCACCTGGTCATGACCCCTGACCCCTGGCCTGTCGCCTCTTAGTTCAGGATCACCTACACAACAGTGCCACCTTGTGGCACAAGCAAACAATTGAAGCTTCCACTGCATTTTCAGCCTCCCTCTCTCTCGCACTGCTCTCTTTCTCTGTGTGTGTGT